AAAAGACCCTGATGCTGGGAAAGATTGAAGGCGGGAGGAGAAGGGGACGACAGAGGATGAGATGGTTGGATGGCATCACCGACTCAGTGGACTGAATATCAGCAAGCTCCGGGAGTTGGTGATGGACAGGGAGGCCGGGCGTGCTGTGGTTCATGGGTCCGCAAAGAGTCGGACATGACTGAGCAACTGAGCTGAACTGAGCTGAACTGAACAAGTATTCATTAATTTCCCTGTTGTCTCAGACCATAAAGAATCCACCCGCAGAGGCAGGAGACTGGGGTTCGATCCCTGGGTCGGGAAGATTCCCCTGTAGGAGGGCATGGCCACCCACTCCAGTGTTCTTGCCTGGAGAATCCCACGGACAGAGGAGCCTGGCGCGCTACGGTCCACGGGGTCACAAGAGTCGGACCCGACTGAGCACGCAGGCAGTCCTGTGAGGCCGCCGAGTATAGTCGAGAGTTTCATTTCCAAGTTTCACACGCCCCAGCCCCGAGCTTGCGATGGAGAGGCTGTTGCGGTGAAAGGGAGGGGGGAAAAAAAAAAAAGGAATGAGCTTTGTTTTTTTTTTCTTCCATTTCCTAAGAAGAAAGAAATTAAAGAGAAGAGTGAGCAGGCCTGGACATTTCTAGTTTTGGTTTTGTTTTTTTTTTGCTGTTGTTGTTACTTAACTGCTCCTGACTCTGCACGTTTGTAACTAAGTTTCCGTTTATGCCCTCTGACTCTACACCTCACATATAGTTTTCCTTTGACTGCGCTAAATCCTTCCTGTATCTGCTGTTTACCCTGAAAACACCCTTCCCTTGGTAGCTACACATCAGAAAGGAGGCGGCAGGGTCAGCGGACTGCCAGAGTCAATTGCTGGGTTACCGACGCCAGCTTATGAGCGAATTGGCAAAAATGCAAGAGGAAGAAATGAAGATCGTATCACCTTTGCTCCTCATCGCGGACCCCAGACTGCAAGCCCTCATCTTGTGTAAGCCCGTAGACTCCTCATCTGTCCTAAAGGAAATGAGCCCTGAACACTCACTGGAAGGACTGATGCTGAAGCTCCAGTCCTTTGGCCACCTGATGCGAAGAGCTGACTCCTTGGAAAAGACCCTGATGCCGGGAAAGACTGAAGGCGGGAGGAGAAGGGGACGACAGAGGATGAGATGGCTGGATGGCATCACCGACTCAGTGGACATGAGTTTGAGCAAGCTCTGGGAGTTGGTGATGGACAGGGAGGCCTGGCGTGCTGCAGTCCACGGGGTCACAAAGAATCAAGACACGAAAGTGATTTAGCAAGTCTCCCCATCAAGGGGCGGGGAACAGTCCTTGAGGCCTGAGTTTACTGGCTGGGTTCCCCTCTCCACCAGTTGAGAATAAAAGCCACCTTTCTGTTTCCTCCAACCCCTGTCTCTGTATTTTTCACTTGGCTTTGGTGGGCAGAGAAAGTGAAGATTCTGGCCAGCAGTAACGCTTGTCCAAGACCCCCCGACACACCAGCATCTCAGGGCAGCAGGAGACCTCTGGCTTTGGTGTTTGGTTTTGTTTCCCTTTTTTCAGATCCCCAGATCACGTAGGCAGCGCTGGGAGAGACCACGACCAGGGTGAGTCCTCAAAATCACTCTCAAGTTTGCGAGATGAATGGAACTGGGGCGGAGCGCTCAGCTGCGTCTTGCAGACACGCCTTGCTCCTTCCCAGATGTGCGTGTGTCTTATTTGGTCTTTACGAAAGCAGAAGACTCCCCGGGTGCCCCGCCCAGGGCATTCCGGTTTCGTTGGGAGCGACCTGACAATTCAATCACTGCAGACTGTGTGTCCATGTCCATCCCAGACTCCCTGACTGTCCCTTCCCCCCCAGTAACCCTAATTTCCTTCTCTAAGTCTGTGAGTCTCTTTCTGTTTTGCAAGTAAATTCATTTGTATCATTTATTTTTAGATTCCACATATAAAGGGGAAGTGAAAGTGGAAGTCGCTCAGTCATGTCTGACTCTCTGCGACCCCGTGGACTGTAGCCCACCAGGCTCCTCCGTCCATGGGATTCTCCAGGCAGGAACACTGGAGTGGGTTGCCATGCCCTCTTCCAGGGGATCTTCCCCACCCAGGGATCGATCCCACATCTCCTGCATTGCAAGGGGATTCTCCGTATGCCATCAGGTTAGCCCAGATTCCACACATAAGCGATGTTCTACAATATTTTTCTTAGAAGAGCATTTTTAAAGCCCCTAAATGAGTGTGCGGTCTTTTACCCAGCGCTCTCCACACGCTTGAAGCGTCCGTGTCAAAATTTAATTCTACATTAACGGAACAGGGAAGCTCTCTTTAGGTTTTCAGCTACCCCTTGGTAGAGAGGTGCCCTGTTTCAGTTGCATACTTCAGCGGTGAGAGAAAACTTTATGAAACACTTCAGTGCCCCTGAAGCCACTGCTGAATCTGAGTCCTAGCATTTAGTTAAAAGTATAATGTGAAGAATTAAAAAATAAAATGCGATCAATAGCCAGCCATCCGGGCCGCAGGTAAGCTAAGCCTCCTCTCTCCTCTGTCTCTCTCTGCTCCCCCACCATCCGTATGTCTTCCAAGTTTGCATTTTTAACATCAGAGAAATCACCGCGATATTTTCAAGGGGCTAATGAGAAGTCAGTTCAGTTCAGTTGCTCAGTCACGTCCGGCTCTTGATGAGAAAGTCAAGAGGTTCTTTATATGTTTAATAGAAAAGAGAGCTTTGTCTGCCTCCCCCGGGAACGCAATTAGCAGGAACACGGGCAAATTAGAGAGTCACGCTTCCTTTTGCTTTTCCTTCGGATTCTCCTGCTTGTGTGGAGCACTGACTGATGAAAATATTTAAAGCCCTGGTCATGGAGAGATTCACCTTCCTGGGGGAGAAATAAAAATTGTCAAAAAGCTAAACAATAAACCGGGGGAGGAAGGCTGCTCTTGTCCACATATCCAGAGAATAAGGACTCACCTGTTGGTCCAAGGGCTAAGACTCCGAGCTCTGAACGCAGGGCGCCTGGGCTCCAGCTCTGGTCTGGGATGTAGTTCCCATGGGCCGCAACTAACACCTGCTGCAGGGAAATGTATATGTACACATTTAACAGCACACGAACATGGACTTTCTGAGATTCCGCCAACCTCTTCTGGGCACCCCGTCGCTGATTTACGCGGCTCTCCGGAGCCCACCTCTTGGAAGCATCTTAGACAAAAGTTAGTCGCTCAGTCGTGTCCGACTCTTTGCCACCCCATGGACTGTAGCCTGCCAGGCTCCTCTGTCCGTGGGATTCTCCAGGCAGGAACACTGGAGTGGGTGGTCTTTTCCTCCTCCAGGGGATCTTCCCCACCCAGGGATCAAACCCAGGTCTCCTGCATTGGCAGGCAGATCGTTATCACTGAGCCACCAGGGAAGCCTGCGTTTTGGGAGTGGGGAGAGCTTACTCTGGAAAACACGTGCTAGGTCCTCAGCGATCCTAGACGGATCCAGGCAACAGCCAGCATGGTTGAAAGCATTCTGGGTTTTGATAGGGGCGCCATTTCCCTTCCGGGGACCCTAGAAATAAAGAAAGAGACTCTTCACCCTGCAGTTGGAGGTAGGCAAAGGCCACGGTGTAGGACTAAAGTGGTCCTGTTGACAAAGCTCCATCACATTCTTCTTACAATGCGCTCACTTCCTGCCACTGTTGCTGTTGTTCAGGCGCTAAGTCGTGAGTATCCGCTCTTTGCAAAGCTGTCCATTCACCCATCCGTCTGTCCATCCACAAACTCTCCCATCCATCTATCCACCCATCCACCATCATCCATCCATCAACCATTATTCATCTATCCATTCATCCATCCATCCATCATCCATCCACTCAGCCATCATCCATCCATGTATCCATCCATGTATCCATCCATCCAACATCCATCCATCATCCATCCATTCATCAGCCATCCATCCATCCACCCATCCATCCACCCCCCACCCATCCATCCATCTATCCATCATCCATCCACCCATCCACCATCCATCATCCATCCACCCATCCTCATCCATGTATCCATCCATCCATCCATCCATCCAACATCCATCCATCATCCATCCACTCATCATCCATGTATCCATCCACCCATCCATCCATCCATCACCCATCCATCCATCCATCCATCACCCATCCATCCATCTATCCATCATCCATCCATCCACCCATCCATCATCCACCCACCCACTCATCCATCCACCTATCCATCCATCATCCATCCATCATCCATCTACCCTCCATGGACACTTGGACTGTCTCCACATTTATGGCGGTTGCCCTCACTGCTGCTATGAACACCATGCATACCAGTGCACACGTCTTCACGTGGACACGTTTTCATGGCTCCTCTGTGCCTGCAGCTAGGAGAGGCGTTGCCGGGCCACGCGGTAAGGCTAGCTGAATCTTCCGAGGAGCCGCCAGGCTGCTGTATGTCGGCCCCCTTTTCGCTCAACTCCAGTGCCCTTAAATCCCACTCCTAGACTCGGCCGCCCGGGGACGTGTAACCCCGCCAGTCACCATGGTACCCACACACCCAGGAGGCTCTCCAGAATGCGGGTCACGCTCTGCTTTCGGACGACTTGAAAAGGGGGCGGTCTGAGCGTCACCCTCCCCCGTCCCCTCCACCCGCTGCCAGCATCCCTGGTGAGGGGCGTGGGATGCTGGAAATCTGTGCCAAGACCGGGAACCACGGAGACCCAGCGGCCAGTCTCTCCAGACGTGTGCTGGGACGTGGCCCCTGGGGGCCTTCCCAGGTGGCGCTAGTGGTGAAGACCCCGCTTTCGAGTGCAGGAGACGTGAAAGATGCAGGTTCGATCCCTGGGTCCTGGAAGACCCCCTGGAGAAGGGAGCAGCTACCCACTCCAGCATCCTTGCCTGGAGAATCCCATGGACAGAGGAGCCTGGCGGGCTACGGTCCATGGGGTCACAAAGTCTCAGTCACACGACTAAGCTACTAAACAATAGCAAGACGAGCAACCTGAAAACCCCCAAAAGAATGGGCACATACTGCAGTGCAGTCTCCCAGGGCTCCCAGGACGGCGGGTGCCCAGCATCCCAGGGCCAGGTCATCACGCGCAGCAGGGGCTGGACCAGGTTTGGGCGACTGTGGGTGGAAACGGACCAGGAGAGAAGTGCAATGCCGCGCGTGACCATTAGGTGGTGCCATAAGACCGTGTCATTATTGTGGTTCAGTCCTAGGTCGTGTCCGACTCTCTGCGACCCCATGGACTGCAGCACGCGAGGCCTCCCTGTCCATCACCAACTCCCGGAGCTTGCTCAAACTCACATACATGGAGTCGGTGAGGCCATCCAACCATCTCCTCCTCTGTCGTCCCCTTCTCCTCCCGCCCTCAATCTTTCCCAGCATCAGGGGTCTTTTCCAAGGAGTCAGCGCTTCCCACCAGGTGGCCAAAGGATTGGAGTTTCAGCTTCAGTATCCATCCTTCCAGTGAGTATTCAGGACTGATTTCCTGTAAGATTCATAATCTGACACAACCATCTTCCCAGGACCACTGCTGTCCCCAAAGGAAATCTAGCCAGGCTGTCAAAAGCCAGCCTGAGCCAAACCCTGGGAGGCGGACGTCCCACAAAGTCAGAGGTCACTTAAACAACAAAATATCTGAAATAGACCCCCAGACGTGGAAAGTGGCAGAGTGGAGGAGGTATACATTAAGAGTTTGGGATTAACATGTACACGCCACTGGCACTGCAGTGGCAAAGCATCCATCTGCGGTGCAAGAGATGCAGGAGATGTGGCATCCCTGGGTGGGGCATGGCCACCCACCCCAGAAGTGTGGCCTGGAGAATCCCATGGACAGAGGAGCCTGGTGGGCTACAGTCCACGGGGTCGCAGAGAGTCAGACACGGCTGAGCAACTAGACCACCCCCACCAGGATCCCCCTGTGTGTGCTCAGACCATCTCTTAGCCAAGCTGATTTTACCAAAGAGGGCTGTGGGTAGCCTGGCATTAATTTTTCATCACTCCCCACTGACCTCCAAGAAGACTTTTCTGCGGACATGTGGTCAGAGGGGAGTCTCCTGAGTTAAGGGAAGGAGAAATAAGTTACCTGGCCGGGGCCCAGCCTCCTGCCTTAATTGTTCTGCTGGTCTCGTCTTGGAGTTAATATCCACAGGCCGTGGGTCTCCAACTGCTTTACCCTGGGATGGGGGCGGAGGGTCTGTTTCCACCTCCCAGACCAGGGATCGAACCCACATGCCCTGCATCGGAAAACAAAGTCTTCACCCCTGGATGGGCAGGGAAGTGCCGAGACCATCAAATTTTATCAAGCCCCACCATGCAGGGAGCAAGGACTTCCGCCTCTACACAAAGGGCATAAATACAGATTGAACGCGGTTCTCAGCATCTCCTAGCCGAGGAGGGTTTCAAACATTAATTGGAAGCCTCAGGTCTGCAAGGCACTTATCAAAGAGTCCACATTTCATCAACAGTCCCCTGATGCACGGAATAGGTGACATTTTTCATCCACCTGATCAACTTTTATTTATTTTTTTAGTAGAGACTTATAAGCCGAACCATTCAAAAATACAATGTTCCTATTCCTGCCGTTTCTGTAGTCTTGTCACCCACTGATAGTTGTTGCCACAAAGGTTTTTAAAAGTGCAAAAGTCTCAACTCCTCCTGAAAGCCGTGTTTGTTACCTTATTGCGTGATGATCAGCTTTCCAAAGCGCTGAGGGGAACGCGCGCCTGTCTTTTGGAACAAAGAAGTTATCCCAGGAATGTCAGCAATGTTTCCTTGTAAAGCGACCCCCTTCTAAGAGGCAGGCAGACCACAGCTTCTGACTGTTACAGGCAAGCCTGTTAATACCAGTGCTTCTGTTCACAGACAGAAATGCAGTCTGCCGTGTGCTTAGTCGCCCAGTCGTGTCTGACTTTGTGACCCGCCTGGACTGTAGCCCGCCAGGCTCCTCTGTCCATGGGGGTTCTCCAGGCAAGAAGACTGGAGTGGGGTGCCATGACCTCCTCCAGGGGACCTTCCCCACCCAGGTCTCCGCATTGCAGGCGGATACTTGACCGGCTGAGCCACCAGGCAAGCCCAGAAATTCAGTACATGTAAAATATTAGTTTAAATTTATTAGGATCATCCACAAGGAAACCTTAGCTATTTTCCACTGAGCTTATCCACAGGAAACTTTGAAAGGATCTGGATAAATTAGAAAAAGGCGCACCCTAAAGACAAGAACCAGGCAATCCTAGAGAAAATCAACCCTGAATATTCACAGGAAGGACTGAAGCTGAAGCTGTAATACTTTGGCCACCTGATTTGAAGAACTGCCTCATTGGAAAAGATCCTGATGCTGGGAAAAATTGAGGGCGGGAGGAGAAGGGGACGACAGAGGATGAGACGGCTGGATGGCACCACCAACTCGATGGACGTGAATCTGAGCAAACTCCGGGAGATACTGAAGGACAGAGAAGCCTGGCGTGCTACAGTCCACGGGGTCGAAAGGGTCAGACACGGCTGAGCGACTGAACAGCCCCAGAGATGAGAAAGCTGAGAGAGCAAAGCCAGAAACCACGTGCTGAAAAGACGAAATGCCAGCCCGGTCCTGAGGTGACATCTCGCTACTATGGAAACTTCCCGTTTTAGTTCACTGGTTCTTCTTGGTTTTTACCATTTGCTTTATCTTTTTCTTGGCCCCCCAAATAAGCAATTCTGTTTTTGCACAGACCAACGTGTAGGCTCAACCTATAATCAGAGAGGAGGGTATCAAGGCGGATGCTGACGCGAATTTCAACATCACCCGGAGACACAAATACGCTGAAAAACTCACACAACCCGCAGCCACAGACCCAGACCGCAAGCTGACCGTTTTTCAGATAGGCTTTTCTGAGCCAGAATTCTGGAATCCAGGAACGGGGCCCCTGACCAAGCCTCAAGGCTGTTGAACACTGGTGACTTCACACGCAGCTCCAGGAGACGGGCCCCCCAGATCCATCATCGTCCACAGGAGACAGACGTGGTCGGGGGGAGAGGGGACATGTTCGGGCAAGCTCCCTGTGATAAGAATGCACGTTCAGGTGTTCAAAGGGGTGACGAGGGGGAGGCAGTGAGTGTTGAAATTATTCAGGCAGTTGAGTCAAGCCAGAGAAAGACAGCGTCCAAAAACTCCCAAGAAGGATGCTCTGTCTTGTATTATGAAATGCTGGATGGCTTCCAGCTTGCTCTAGGATTACACCCGCCCCCCTCCGCCACCCCGAAGACCTGCAGCCTGTTTAGAAAGACACGGACACACACACTTGTTCCACAAGCCCACGTAGACACGGAGCGGCTTGCCAGGGTATCCACAGCATCTCTGGTTGGACCACGGCCAAATGCTTTTTGCTCAGACACGTGAAGGCAGATGACCAGGAAGGAAAGATTTGGGTGCTTGATTCTGCTGGTCTCCTGGGAGCCCTGGATCACGGGGTGGGGAGGGACCCTTCCCGGTCTCAGCCGCCTGCCCCAAGCCCCTGGGGGTGCCCTCGCCCCTGACTTTACAAATGCTACTGCCAGCTCCAGTGAGAACCCACCCAGGGGATGCGCCTGTCGCTTAAATGATGTCCACTCATCACTTTGCTTGTCAGGAACCTTTGGAGGAATGTAGTGAGGATCTGGAGTTTGCACATGCAAATTAGTATATGCCCGCGTGCTAAGTCAGTTCAATTGTGTCCGACTCTTTGCGACCCCAAGGACTGTATCCTGCCAGGCTCCTGTGTCCATGGAATTCTCCAGGCAAGAATACTGGGGTGGGTTGCCAGTCCTTTCTCCAGGGGATCTTCCCGACCCAGGGACTGAACCCACGTCTCTTACATCTCCGGCACTGGCAGGCAGGTTCTTCACTAGTAGAAGCTCAAACTAATCAATTTAGCATGCATAAACAAGGTCCTACTGCAGAGGAAAGGAAACCATATTCAGTACCCTGTGGTCAACCATCATGGGAAGGAATATGAAAAACCGTATAGACGTATAATTGCATCATTTTTCTCTACAGCAGAACATGATATTGTAAACGAACATGATATTGTAAATCAACTATAGTTCAATAACAGTAAAAGAAAAATCTTTTTTCTTAACTTTGCATCTAAACTCCTCAGCTAGTCATTTCAGCATCTTTCAACGCCCCCACCCAGAGCGTGAAAAAGTGAACATGTTAGCCGGTCAGTCGGGCCTGACTCTGCGACGCCATGGACTGTAGCCCACCAGGCTCCTTTGTCCATGGGATTCTCCAGGCAAGAAGACTGGAGCGGGTCGCCATACCCTCCTCCAGGGGATCTTCCCGACCCAGGGACTGAACCTGCGTCTCTTGCACTGGAAGGCGGATTCTTTATCATGTGAGCCTCTAGCCCCTTTGGCATATAATCTGCCTCACCAGCCAGCATGTGCATGCACACACACACGCACACACACGCACACACACACACATCAGAGTCTCCTCCCAAGGTTGCTGCTCACTGCAGGCGGTGCCTTCTGCCGTATTATAACCCACCGGATTTCTTAAACATGCCATCACATCCACCCAGTCGAACCCAGGACCGTGTCAGCAGTGGCAACCCGCAGTTTGAAAAGCACCACACCAAAGCCAGGAGGAAGGCATGTCCGTCCACCCACAATTTCCTTCTAAACTTCAAGTTTCCCTCCAGGGAGGCTCTGGGCAGGATCTCCAGATTGGTTTTTACACTCAGGGCAAGAGAAGCTGTTAGGCAAACGTACACAGGTGGAGATGGTCGGATGGCCTCACTGACTCGATGGATGTGAGTTTGAGCGAGCTCCGGGAGCTGACGATGGACAGGGAGGCCCGGCGTGCTGCGGTCCACGGGGGCGCAGAGAGTCGGACACGACTGAGCGGCTGAACGACAACAAACTCCTGCTCACCAGATCCTTCCTGGGGGCGACTGTGTGTGCAGATACTTAGCATTCCTCCCCCAGGACGGCCTGAGACGTCCCCCGACTTGCTAATCCTGCCCATCCAAGTACCTTCAGCCCCTACCTCCTTCGCAGACCGCGGGCCCATCCTGGCCGCCCGAGGGCTCCCTCTTTAGCCCCAGCTTATACCATCCTGACGGGGAGACCACAGTGGCGGAGGCGGGGCTTCAGCAAGGGGTCCAGGGTCTGTCTGCAGCCCACAGCTGAGTCTTCCCTGCCCTGAGTCCACAGCAGACCGGAGCCTCGCCCGGCAGTCACCGCACACGTCTTGCCTGCATCCCCACTCAGTTCTCATCACAGGCGACGCTGCTCCCGGAGAGGTCCTCTGGAGGACCCTGGAGGCCACGGCTGCCCTGTCGCTTCAGTCGTGTCCGCCTCTTTGTGACCCCATGGACCGCAGCACGCCAGGCCTCCCTGTCCATCACCAAGTCCCGGAGCTTGCTCAAACTCAGGTCCATCGGGTCGGTGATGCCACCCAGCCATCTCATCCTCTATCATCCCCTTCTCCTCCTGCCTTAGCGAATTCTCCTTTCCCTGGGTCTGCCCCTTGGGGCCTAAAGGTCTAAGGAAAGGGGTGTGTGTGTGTGTGTGTGTGTGTGTGTGTGCGCTCGGGGACAGTATCCGGCTCCTCACCCACAGGGCGAGTCCAGGAAGATGGGAGACACACGTCTGTGGAGGGAGGTTTCCTGCCGGGCGGGCAGCGCAAAACCCACCTGCTGTCCCCAGAGCTTCAGCCCCGGCACTGCGCGCCCCACCCCACCACCCTCTATGTAAGGATGCTCTGGTTGAACCCAAAGCCCCCCACCCCAGTTCAACCACAGGCGGGAAAAGAGGAGGAAGGGGCATGGTCTTTCTCCACCAGCTAACCCCCGCAATCCTGAATCCCACATCCCGGGGTCATTACAGCTCAGGGCACCGGCTGTGGGCGTCGGATGGGGCAGGGGGCCCGGTGGAGAGGTAGGGGCTGGGGACACAGAATTAAGGAGGGAGGGGGTCACGCGGAGAGGTGGGGAAAGACAGAACGCAAGACGGGGGCGGGGGGAGGCCACGCGGAGACGCAGGATGGGGAGACCGCCAAGGCTGAGACAGCGCCAGGAGACCAGGGCGCCCAGGCGCAAGGGGCGCGCGAGGGCGCGCGTGCCGGGGCGGGGGGCGAGATTAGGGGGCCGCGGCCCCGCATCTCCGGGTCTGCGGCGGGCGCTCCCCCCCACCACGTCACCCCCCCGCTGCGGAGAGGCCAGAAGCGGGAGGTGGCCAAGGCTGAGACGGCCAGTGAGAGGTGACCGGGGCGCACAGGAGCCAGGGGCGCGCGGGGGCGCGCGCGGGGCCGAGGGACGCGGCGGGCGTCGCCCCCCGACCGCCCCCCACCCCGCTCCGCAGCCCCTCCCCCGCGCGCGCCCCCGCGCGCCCCGCACGGCCGCGCGCTGCGCCCCGCGAGGGGCCGGGCTTCCATCCACCTGTCAGTGCGCGCCCGCCGCCGCCTCGCCGCCGCCGCCGCCGCCCAACTTTGCGGGGACTTGCCCGGGCGCGCCGCCTCCTCGCGGCCGTCCGCGTCCTCGCCCATCCATGGCCGCGGCGCCCGCCCAGCCCCGTGGCCGCCGGGCGCGGTGAGCGCAGGACCGAGCCCGGGGTGGGCGCTGGGGGGGGTGGGGGTCTCCCCGCGCGCAGCCGCCCCGGGAACAGCAGCGGCCGAGCGGCGGGGGCCCTGCCTCGCTGCCGCCGGCCGCCCCCCCGCGCCGGGAGCCCCGGCACGGAGCATTGCGGATGCGGCGCGGGGCCGGCGCGGGGCTCCGGGCGCGCTCGGGGGTCGTGAGCGCCGCGCCCCGCGCGCCCCCCGCCCGCGCGCCCCGCCGGGGCCATGCAGTCGTTCATCTCGCCCGTCACCAAGGCCATCCTGGTGGCGCTCTTCATCTTCGCCATCCTGCTCATCCTGTACGTGATCCTCTGGTACATCTGCCGCGATGTGGACTGCGACCACGGCATCTGAGCGCCGCGGGCCCCGCGCCCCGCCGCGCTGAAGGGCGCCCGGGCGTCCGGCATGGGGGCCGCGGGGCCGGCCGGGGCGCCCCGCCACCCCGGCCCCGCGCCCCGCCGCGCGGCGCCCGCCGCCCGCGCCCCCTGCCCGTGACCTTCACGACGGACCGGACGGAGCGGGTGAGCGCGCTCGGGTGGCCGCCCTGCGGGGCCAGCCAGGGGCGGGGGGTGGTGGCGGCGGAGGTGTTGTTTGGGGGGGGGGGTTACGGAGAGGAGCCACAACTTCGCGCAGGGCGCGGGAGCCGGGCGCGGGACCGGCCCCGGTGGGGCGCAGCTCCCCGGGACTCGCGGGCCAGCGGGAGGCGCTAGCGGGGGACCGCTCTGGGGGGCCCGCGCCCGCCTGGGGCGCCTTGGGTCCCTCCGAGAGGCTGGGCACTCTGGCCATCGGTCACCCCCTGCGCAGCGGCCCGGGGTTCCCCCCCACCCCCAGCCCGTGGCTCGCGGGAAAACCGGTCGAGAGCGCCCCGTGCGCCCTCCTCGCGTTCCCCGGCACTCCCAAGGTTGGGGGGGCGGGTGCCAACCCGCTGGCAGGGGGCTTCCTCCCCGCGTCTCCTCTCTCCACCAGAGACTCAGAGAAGGGAAAGCTTTGCCCCACACCAGTGCTCCGGGAGCAAGTTTGTGACTTAAATAAAGACCTTGTTAGCAAGAACATTGCAAAAAAAAAAAAGCGTCCCTCCGGAGCGTTCCTCTACAGAAAGAACGTGTGAGCAAAAACACCCAGCTGAAATAGGCTGCCAATTTATGCATCCGCAGATAGCTAGGTCGTCTTCCTGGGGTAATCAGGGCACGCATGGGGCCGGTGGCGGCGGCGGGGTGCGGGGGGAGATAGATGTTTTGGGTCTCGGCGGTCATGTGCGAGCCGCCTCGACCCTCGACCAGCCCTGCTCTGTGCGGTTCGCGCACCGGCGTGTTCGCTCCCACTAAGCCGTTTCCAGCCCCCCCCAGAGGGTTAAGGAGACCGAAACGGCAGACATTGTCTCCTGCTCCGCAGGAATGGTTGGAGAAACTCCCCCGAGGGGAGCCAGAGCGTCTGGTCTGGGGCGATCAGCGCTGTGTTGTGCGCTGTCTCCTGGGTCGTCTGGGTTTTCTCCTGTGGTTGAAATCGGTGTCACCCCAGTCCAGTGACTGGCGCTCTGCGGCTTTTTGCGCTGTGTATCCGCCAAGATCCAGTGTCTGGGCCCCAGGAGGGAGAGGAAGGGAGACCCATTTTTAAATGGACAAAAACCCTGTTGGTTGGGCAGGGAAGGGGGGAATCAAGAAATATCCCGGGAAACCCAGCCTCCCCTCCCCAAACACACACAAACACACACACGCACCTTGTAAAGGCATCCTGAAGGCGTTCCGTGGAGCTGGCTGGGGTAACCTGTCTCCTAAGATGTCACTGTGTCTCCTACACCCCTAGAGGGGCTGCCCCAGCTTCCTGAGACCCCAGATCCTTCCCCTGCACCCCCCACCACCTCCCCAGCTCAAGAAGGAAAGCCTGGGACTGAGTCTAAACAGACCATGCTGATACTTGTGAATTTCTGAAGCACCATGTAAATTTTTGAAGCGGCATGTCAGTTTCTGAAGCTCCCCATGCTCTAGGTATCAGGTGACATGAGCTGGGCAGAAGCAGGATGAAAAGGTGTCCAGATACCTTGAAAAACTATCCCCACCCCCACCCCCTCCCCCATCATCAGAAAAAGGACCTCACACGTCCGCGTCTCACACACAGCACACGGCTCAAATGATAACACACACATGCTCTGTGGGAGGGCGCAGTGGGGACAGAGACACTCCAACATCTAAACGTCGTTCAGATGCCTAAATTCTAAAATCTAGATCTAAAGAAGGAAAAAAAAAGCTTTAGATGCCTGAGTCTGAGATGAGCCTGGAGAAGGATGCTGGGATGGAGGGGTATTACTCGTGGGACCCCTCTTTCTGGTAGGAAAACACAGCCGATGGGGAAAAAGAGCCCAAATTATGTAACCATGACCATCCTGCCGGTGGAGGGTCGGTCCCCGTGGCCACGCGTGTACCCCGGAGCCCCTTCCCATCTGGCTGGTGCACAGTCGGCCTCCCTTTGGGTTCTTTTCCTCTCGGGCCATTTCAGTCCCAGCTGATGGCTGTCCCTTCTGTTTCCCAGAGAGGCCTTCCTGTCCACCTGCATGTCATCTCCATGACCCGGGAGACGTGTCTCTCCTGCATGGCCGTCCCCGAGTGTCTGCAGAGCGGGTCACGGCAAAAATCAAGGCAGAAGCGCAGGATTCAGACGGGCTGGCGGGCATAAAGGCAGCTGCCTGGTGGGGGCTCGGCGGGTGAAAGGGAGGTCAGAGAGGAAGGGGGTTATGCAGAGGGATGGAGCTCATTCCGTTTGTGGTGCAGCAGAAACTAACATGCTTTGGTAAAGCCACGCTATCCCCGATAAAATAAATGTTCTTGCTGTCAGATAGGAATTGTCACAGTATATAGACACCTCTCCCTTCCAAATAATAATAATAATAGTCCAGGGTAGAAGCCTTGCACTTTAGACAAAATGAAACCTTGGCCCTCATGTTCGCAGTGGCCTCTCTGATCTACAGAAGACCTTCCCAAATGGGCTTCGGGATCACTGCCAAGAGCCCCATTTCAGGTACAGAAAGCAAGGTGGTTTGCTGCCCAAGGTCACGGGGCTGGGAAGTTCGGAGGAGTCCCTGGCAAAGGACAGAGGCAGCCTGCTTGCAGAGGGGCCTGCTCGGGAGAGCCGTCCCCTGCGACATCCGTCAGCATATCTGTCCACCCCTCCATCCCTTCTCCACGGAAGTCCTGAGACCCGGAGGGGGAAGTCTGGAGCCTTGGGGACCCTGTGGCTGTAATCTGTCTCAAGAAAACACAGCTTCTGCTAAGGATCGTTCTCCGGGGGCCCAGACAGACGAATCACAAGCCCACCCGGGGCCGCTGGTCCGCAAGGGCTGGGGAGAGAGTGTGACCAGGTGCTCTGTCACCTTCTGAACTTTCTACAGGGTGGGCAAGGAATGCAGAGTGCTTGCCAGAAAGAAAGAAAAAAAAATAGAAGAATGTGGATTCCTATAAATAACACTTGCATCCAATAGTCCCCGAGAGCGTGTTACAAAGTTCCAGACAGTGAAAAAGGATTAGTATTTACATCGCGTTTTATGCTCCTGACAGCAACATGAGTCCAATGATTATCTCAATTACACAGAATAGAAGGAAAAAAAAAAAAACAGGCTAAAAAGAAAATGGTTACGTAACTTTCCTAAGATCACAAGGAGAACAAGATCTGTCAGCAACAGTCTCCAAGCTCCTGTCCCCGCAGACCTGCCTGCACGCTCACCTGTGTTTGTAAACAAAAGCCATATCCTGAGTGAAGGAAGTGACACAGAGAAGCAGACATATACTGTGACATCCTCACATGCAGAATCTAAAAGGAAATGATGCACGAAACTTATTTGCAAAGCAGAAAGAGACTGGTAGACTTAGAGAATGAACTTATGGGAGGGATAGTCAGGGAGTCTGGGACGGACGTGGACACACTGCTGTATTTCACATGGAGAACCAGCAAGGACCCGCTGGCCAGCTCAGGGAACTCTGCTTAATGTCGCGTGGCAGCCTGGATGGGAGGGGAGTTTGGGGGAGAATGGATGCGTGTACATGCATGGTTGAGACCCTTCATTGTCCACCAGAAACTATCACTACATTGTCAATCAGCTATGCCCCAATACACAATGTTTTTGTTGTTTAAAAAAAGCCAAAACCCGTATTGGTTGCATTTCCATTCAAAACAGTTTTAAATTGTGTTTCTATCTTCACCTCTTCCTTATGGTTTAAGAATAATGTTCTGTTAAGGTTTTTCTTTCTTTCTTTTTTTTTTTTTTTGGATACACTACAAATTAACTGATTCATGGATATTTCCAGGTGCTGTTGTTTACTCTCTTAAGCCATGCCCAACTCTTTGCGACCCCATGGACTGTAGCCCCGCCAGGCTCCTCTGTCCTTGGGATTCTCCTGGCGAGAATACTGGAGTGGGTTGCCGTTTCCTTCTTCAGGGTGTCTTCCCGACCCAGGGATTGAACCCAGCTTTCCCGCACTGCAGACAAGATTCTTACTGGTTTTGATCCACCAGAGACTGTGTAAAGACACCTCCAGCCTTCCCACCTGCAGCTTCTCCCCCACGTTCCTCAAACTGGAGGGTCTCCAGAGAGGCAAAGAGAAATCTCAGCTTCTTTCAAACATCAGTTAGTTGATGGAAGTGAGCTCCGGGAGTCTGCAGATCAGCGTCACAGAAAACAGAGAACCGGAGCCTGCAGAACCTAGAAGCAGGGAATGGTGATGACACGTATAAGGAGGCTGTTTGTCAGTCAGAGAAGAAACGACTTTCTGTGACTTCCCCGCAGGCTCAGATGGTGAAGAATCTGCTTGACGAGGCAGGAGACCTCAGTTCGATCCCTCGGTGGGGAAGATTCCCTGCAGGAGGGCATGGCAACCCACTCCAGTATTCTCGCCTGGAGAATCGCATGGACAGAGGAGCCTGGTGGGGCTGCAGTCCATGGGGTCACAAAGGGTCAGACATGACTGAGCATCTAACATACTCCTGGGACTTCCCTGGGGGTCCAGAGGTGAAGAATCGGCCCGCCAAGGCAAGGGGACACGCGTTCAATCCTGGGTCTGGTCAGGGAGCTAAGATCCCATGTGCCACGGGGCTCTCATGGTGCCAATTATAAAAATAAATCAATCTTCTTTGAGAAAAAGAAAGAGCTTGCTCACACTTACACTCAAGCAGCGTGACAGCAGACAGGCCCAGAAGTGGCCAGCGGTGTTTGTTTCATGAGCTAAGTTGTGCTCAGCTCTTTTGCTGTTTTCCTTATTTTCTCCTGGGCAGTTCTCTTTGCACAGGATGTGTGACCCAGCGTGGGGGGCGGGGGGCGGTGCTCAGCTAAAAAATTCGGCTTCGGGGGTTTCACATCCTGTGAGCTGGTCTCTAAACCAGCCTCCCTCCCACGCCTCGCCGCATCCCTGAAAAGCTACAGTCTGTGGCAGAAGTAAACATGTCACAATTCCAGATAAGTGACTCCGGGGCAGGAAAGAGTCGGGTAAGGAATCTGATTGTTAATCCTCAAGCTATTTGCAGCTTTAAAAAAAAAAAAAAGAGGCAGAGAATGTTTGTCAAACCGTCACGATGCCTCGCACCATAGCTGTGGTTCCCATTTTTGCTTCGCTTCACAGATGTTCACCCTTAAAGTGGTCTGAGTTGCAGATGCTTCTGAAAGATGTGGGCACCAAGATGTAATATTTGACAGGTAATGAGGATACTCAGTCTTAAAGGAAATCAGTCCGGAATATTCATGGCAAGGACTGATGCTGAAGCTGAAGCTCCAATCCTTTGGCCACCTGATGCGAAGAACTGACTCCTTGGAAAAGACCCTGACACTGGGAAAGATTGGGGGCAGGAGGAGAAGGGGACGGCAGAGGATGAGATGGTTGGATGGCATCACCGACCTGATGGATATGAGTTTGAGTAAACTCCGGGAGTTGGTGATGGACAGGGAGGCCTGGCGTGCTGCGGTTCACGGGGTCGCAAGCAGTCGGGTATGACTGAGCGACGAAGATTGAGCATCTCAGCCGTTAGTTTCAAGACGCCGTATTCGCTGCGTGTCAGGCTGCATCACGACTGCAGAGTGAAATGCAATCCGGAAGGTGCAGGGGAGAGTCCTAAGCTCCAGTCAGGGGTGGTGGGCCCCGAGTCAGGCCGTGTGGCTGGTGGGGCCCCGAGTCAGTAGCTGAAGCAGGAAGTCCAGGCTTGGATGCTGGGCTGCGTACACAAGGATAAGACAGTTCATTCCAAGAGGTAAGCAGCCTCATGGAAGGTCCAGGGACTCCCCTAGTGGATCAGATGGTAAACAATCCACCTGCAATGCGGGAGACCTGGGTTCAGTCCCTGGGTTGGGAAGATCCCCTGGAGGAGGAAATGGCAACCCACTGCAGTATCCTTGCCTGGAGAATCCCATGGACAGAGGAGCCTGGCAGGCTACAGTCCACGGGGTCACACAGAGTCAAACACGACTGAACCACCTTAGCATGCATGGAATGTTCTAGACCCCGTCTGTGCCTTTGGAATCAATTTGTCTCTAAAAGCCCATGTTCCCATAAGTCACACCCCCCCCCCACCTCCAACGCCAACACAGGCGTTGCACAGTCTGTGCACCCCAAATGGAATCTAAAACTTGACCTTCTGGCCACACGGGGTCCACACCCCTGCCCCCGTTTCTTGCTGGGAGGGGTGCCTCTTCCCCCAAACCCGCGTCCCCACCCTGATTCGACAGACGTGGACCCGCCACTGTTCTTTCTGGCAATGCCCAGCCTGCCCTCGACTCCCCACCCACGACCGGGACTTTTGGAGAAAAGCTCAGCTTTCTTCCAGAGCCAAGCCAGGCAAATGACTCTGGAAGCCAATTTCGCAAATGTGGCTTTTAGCTCAAAATAGCAAGAGCAGAAGGTGAGGGCTGGGCGGGCCCTCGGAGGCAATTCCGTAACGATGCCCAAAATAGCACCAGGCAGACAGGACCTTCTCCGCTGGTGGGGCGAGGGGTCAGACGCATGTGTGGAGAAGTCCAGTACACTGGTGGTTCTCAGCGCTGCATTCACACCTCCCCTCCCCAGTTGGAATTTTTTTTTTCTTTTTAATTAATGTATTTGCTTATTTCTGGCTGCACGGGGTCTTCGTGGCTGAGCCCGCGCTTTGTCTAATTGCGGCGATCGGGGGCTATTCTCTTGAGTTGGAATGTTTGGACTTTTCATTGCGGTGGCTTCTCTGGCTGGGGCGTCTGGAGTCCAGAACGCAGGCCTGGTGGTTTTGGAGCATGGCCTTAGTGGGTCCGGGGCCTATGGGATCTTGGGTGCGACAGAGGATGAGATGGTTGGACGGCATCACCGACTCGGTGGGCGTGAGTGTGAGCAAGCTCCGGGGAGTTGGTGATGGACAGGGGAAGCCTGGCATGCTGCAGTCCACGGGGTTGCAAAGAGCTGGACACGACTGAGCAACTGAACTGAACTGATATGGGATCTCCCCGGACCAGAGATGGAACCCATGGCACCTGCATCTGCACTCATGTTCCTAACCACTTATAAAGAAAGGAAAGAAAGTGAAGTCGCTCAGTTGTGTTTGACTCTTGGCGACCCCATGGACTGTAGCCTGCCCCAGGATTCTCCATCCATGGGATTCTCCAGGCAAGAATACTGGAGTGGGCTGCCACTTCCTTCTCCAGGGAATCCTCCCCAGCCAGGGATCGATCCCAGGTCTCCCACGTTGCAGGCAGACGCTTTACCATCTGAGCCACCGGTGGATTAACCACTTAGACCACCTGGAAATTACCTCCCCACCACCAGTTGGCTTTTTTAGGGGCTGAGAGCAGGGACAAGCATCTCCTGTAGGTTTAAGGTGGGTTCACGTGCTCCTTACAAATGCTTCCAAACCCCTGGGATGTGTTGTTGGGTTTTCCTCTGCGTGGTGAGTGCAGGTACGTGGTCCCCGGGAATCTGAAGGGCAGCCGGCCCTGGTCAGCAGAGCCTGGGGAAGGTCACCTGGGTCTCAGTCTCCATGGGACCAGGTGGAACCCCGTCCCGCCCCCCATTCGCCCCCCTGTGATTCCTTAGACGTCTGAGCACGCCAGTAGGTGCTGCTGTTTGCGTGAATGTGATGATGGTGGAAGTCATAGGTTGCTCAGTCGCCTGGGGTGTCCTTGGCTGGGATAGGGTGATAACATTTATAACAGGTCAAATGCACCCTTGAGTCTACCCGTTCAGGACAGTCTGACCAGCTTGCCATGTCACACCTGACGCTCTCTTACGATTTTTACTGAAATATAGTTTGTTCACAGTGTTATAGTAGTTTCAGGCACACAGCAGAATGACTCTGTTATAAATACGTGCGTGCGTGCTAAGTCGCCGCAGTCGTGTCCGACTCTTCGCGGCCCCGTGGACTGTAGCCCGCCAGGCTTCTCTGTCCGTGGGGTTCCCCGGGCGAGAATTCCATTCTTCTCTCTCTCTCTCTCTCTCTTTTGTTGTCCTTGTTTTTTGATGTGTGCGTGACAAAGCCCTCAAGTGTTACCACTCCAGGTAACCTGATCATCTTGCGATCCCCTGAAATCCTTTGATTTTTATCAGCACCGGGATTTGCCCAGCACCGCGATTTTGAGAGACGCGTGTCGCCTCATCGAAGAGCCGCCTGTCCTTAGCCTTCCTAGTTTTTTTTGTTTGTTTGTTTTTATTAACTTAAAAAAAAAAATGTGGCCACATTGCAAGGCATGTGGGATCTTTCTTCCCCGACCAGGGATCAAATCTACATACCCTGCATTGGAAGACAAGGTCTTAACCACTGCACCACCAGGGAAATCCCTTTATTGACTTACTTTTGAAACTTCCTGAGACTTCTTCAGGCAGATTGGAAAGAGTCTGGGATCCGTCTGCTTGTGAAAAGTAAAATTTCTTTTTTTTTTTTTTTTAAGGAACAAGCATCCTAAAGTTTTACTCTGTCTGAAGTTCATTTTGTTCTTTTTCATCCTTTTCTTTTTTTTCCTTCAAATGTTTCTAGAGTGAAAAATCTCTGAGTCCTGTCCAACTCTTTGCAACCCCACAGACTGCAGTCCCCCACCAGGCTCCTCTGTCCATGGGATTCTCCAGGCAAGAATCCTGGAGTGGGTGGCCATTTGCTTCTCCAGGGGGAATCTTCCCAATCCAGGGATCGAACCCGGGTCTCCTGCATTGGCAGGCAGATTCTTTACTGTCTTGAGTCACCAGGAAAGACCTGTTTCTTTCTTTAAAAACGAAAAAAAAAGACAAAGGAATTCTATTTAGGAAATAATTGTTCCTCTCCTGGAATGAAAATCTCCCCTCTGTCTCTTGTTGAGCGCTCAGGGCTTTATTTAGTCCGCGGAGCTATAAAGAGCGGCCGCTTGCTGCCAGAGCTGGGTGACCTGTTTCAGGGCCTATATTTGCCCGTCCTTTTTGGCGCGCCCAGCCGGCCTCCTCCCTGTAAGAGAATGAGGTCCCGCCGGGGGAGGCCCGGCATTGGCCTGGAAACCAGGATGTCAGCTTCCATCGCCAGCGCGAAGTCCCAGAACGATGGCTTCTGGGCTGCTGTCGTTAACCACTCACTCGTGTCCAAACTCTGTGCGACCCCGTGGACCGCAGCACGCCAGGCCTCCCTGCCCGTCAGCAACTCCCGGAGTCCACCCAAACCCATGTCCGTCGAGTCGGTGATGCCACCCAACCATCTCATCCTCTGCCGTCCCCTTCTCCTCCCGCCTTCAGTCTTTCCCGGCGTCAGGGTCTTTTCTGGTGTGTAAGCGCTTCACATCAGGTGGCCCAAGGATTGGAGTTTCAGCTTCAGCATCTGTCCTTGCAGTGAATGTGTGTGATTGCTCAGTTGCTAAGTCGTGTCTGACTCTTTGTGACCCCATGGACTGCAGCCCACCAGGCTCCTCTGTCCATGGGATTCTCCAGGCAACAGCACTGGAGTGGGTTGCCATTTCCTTCTCCTCCAGGGGATCTTCCCGACTCAGGGATCGAACACACGTCTCTTGCCCTGCAGGCCAGATTCTTCAGCGTCAGAGCTACCAGGGAAGCTGGCCTTACAGGGTTGTGAATGGTGGAGTGTCTGCTTGCGACTGATGGGCGAGCCTCCTTGCCAAAGCTGAATTAAGTCGTGCTGCGTCTGGGGGTGCGGGGAGCTGAGAACCTCAGCAATGGGTCCCCTTACGGCCCTGGAGGCCGGCCGCCCCCAAGGCGTCTTCTGGCAATGAGGTGAATGCGTTGGTGGGAGCGCTGATGACTGCTCCCCCCGGGTCTGCTCGACGGGCGCCCGCTTGTCTCTCCGAGCTCGGGGGTGCACTGCGGCATCAGGCCTCGTCGCCGCTGCCTCCGCCGGGCCCGCAGGCCCGCCTCCTCCGTGAGAGGAGCCTTGCGATGCCTCCGACTGACCCGAAGCCCCCGCGTCCTCTCCCGGGCGGCAGACCCTTCACTGCCTCCCGTCTCCAGGGTCCCTTCTGGAGGCAGCGGGAGCTGACACCACCCCCCGCCCGTGGGGCGGGGACCCGGGCCGACCACATCCTCCAGGTTCCCTGAGGCCCGTGTTCACGCTGGACGGCGGGCGGGCGCCACGGGGCCGCAGAGAGGAGACGGGCCCCCGACCCGGCCCCGGAACACACTCGGGGTCTGTCTGTCTCTATCTCTCCCTGTCTGTCTGTCTCTCTGACTTCATCCGCTCCCTTCCATCAGGCCTGTAGCATCGGTGAATTTTCACCAGCTCCCTCCACGACCGTGGTTCTGAACCAGTCCATCCTAAAAGATCAGTCCTGAATACTCCCTGGGAGGACTCATGCTGAAGCTGAAACTCCAATACTTGGGCCACCTGATGCAAAGAGCTGACTCTTTGGAAAAGACCCTGATGCTGGGAGGGATTGGGGGAGGGAGGAGAAGGGGACGACAGAGGATGAGATGGTTGGATGGCATCACCGACTCAATGGACATGAGTTTGAGTAAACTCCGGGAGTTGGTGATGGACAGGGAGGCCTGGGGTGCTGCAGTCCATGGGGTCGCAGAGAGTCGGACTCAACCGAGCTACTGAACAATGACATTCTAAAGGCTGGAGTGTGAGATACAGGTGTGGGCAGGGCTGTTTCCTCCTGAGGTCTCGCTCCTGGGCGTGTAGACGGCCGTCTCCTCCCTGAGTCCTCACGTGGTCATCCCTGTTTGTGCATCTGTCTCCGCATCTCCTCTTCTTTATGAGGACCCCAGTCCTGCGGGATCAGGACCCAGCCTAGTGACCTCATTTCACCTTCATTCTCTCTTTAAGGACCATCTGCAAACACAGCCCCGTCCCGAGGTCCTTGGGTGAGGGTTTCAACGTCTGAATTTTGGGGAAGATTTAATTCAGCCCAAGCTTTCCAGGTAGAAGCAGACGGTAAAGCATCTGCCTGCCAGTGCAGGAGACGCAGGTTTGATCCCTGGGTCGGGAAGATCCCCTGGAGAAAGAAATGGCAAATCCACGCCAGTCTTCTTGCCTGGAGAATCCCCATGGACAGAAACGAGACTGGTGGGCTACCAAGGGTCGCAAAGAGACCCAAGCATGCATGCAACCTGAGAGGTCAGTCCATAGTGCTCAGCGAAGACAACTTCCCCGGGCTCCCTCACGGCCCCGCGGGGGCTGCGGTCTTTGCCAGCCGTGGCTGGTACCGGCTCTGAGTGTAAACCCATGGATGGGGAGATGGCAAGGTGATTGCATGAAGAGACAGTCTGGTCCGTGCTGGATCAGACGTCTGGGCACGGAGCCAGGGAACATGTGGTGGACAGGCTCCACCCGATCTGTGCTAAGGACACACGGACACTCAGACGGGGGTGCAAGCGGGACTGCTGTGTGGGGCTGGGGAGCCTTCTCGGGGACCCTTGCCCGAGGTCTCAAGGACAAAGAGGGGTTCTCCGGAGACGGCTGGGGAGACAGTACATACACACACACACACACACACACACACATAGGGTTTCTGGGGTGCCTGGCACCCCGCTTCTGCATTTTTCTTCTCCCTGGAAAAATGTTTATAGGATCTAGAACAGGGCTGTCGAAAGGAAACACAAATATGAGCCACCTAAGGTGGCTGGCAGCCGGTAAGGTACAGACTTCCGGTTGAAAAATAAAGCAGTTGAAACTAAATAAGTAGAAAAATAAATGAGTACTAAGGATTTTATGCAAGCATGATAAAGATTATAATATGACATATACAAAGGCCGTTAAGAGGAAACACTGAGAGTTCTCTTCCCAAGAAAGACATTTGTTTCTTTAATTTTGTGTGTATAATGAGATGATGGATGTTAACTAAACGTGTGGTCCTTGTTTCATGATGTATGTAAATCAGATCTTTATTCTGCACATCTTAGACTTACATAGGCCCCCATGCCAATTGTATCAATAAATGTGGAAGAGAAACATTGGTGTGCTAAGAGAAACATTTGTCTGGTAGCTGCATGAAAAAGAAGCTAAAATGGTAATGATGAAGTCAATTGGAATAATGTATTTGACCTGATCTCTATATTGAAGTAGTATCATTTCAACAGATATATATATATATATTCATGTGTGTGTAGGTATACAAAATTGAACATGTCAATTTACATAGTAATAGAGGTATGTGTTTCTATTTTTTAATGCACAACATTTATACAAGGCAATGGCACCCCACTCCAGTACTCTTGCCTGGAAAATCCCACGGACCGAGGAGCCTGGTAGGCTGCAGTCCATGGGGTCGCTAAGAGTTGGGCACGACTGAGCGACTTCACTTTCACTTTTCCCTTTCATGCATTGGAGAAGGAAATGGCAACCCACTCCAGTGTTCTTGCCTGGAGAATCCCAGCGACGGGGGAGCCTGGTGGGCTGCCGTCTATGGGGTCGCACAGAGTCGGACACGACTGAAGCGACTTAGCTTAGCTTATGAAAGCATCTATATTCTTTGGGTTTCCCAGGTGGCACGGTGGTAAAGAACTCATCTGCCAATGCAGGAGACAGAGGAGACAGGAGACGTGGATCCGATCCCGGGGTCAGGAAGATCCCCTGGAGAAGGAGATGGCAACCCACTCCAGTATCCTGGCCTGGAGAATCCCACGGATGGAGGAGACTGGAGGGCTACAGTCCATGGGGCCGCACAGAGTCGGACACACACGTAGACTTTATGAAGTATCAATTTTATAGGCATATACGTACCTTCCATGTAAGGTACATAGATATGTAACTTACTAAAGCTATATTTTAAAATTCTGTAGTTATGTACACGCACTTAGAATTGTCTAGCTCTCATGTATATAATATCCATACATGTACGAGTAATATCCAGACGTATGTGATTTACTAGAGTTATTTTTTTGAAATTCCATAGTTATGTACACGCACTTAGAATTCTCCGACTAACCATCAGTAAGAAGCTGAGCATCCTGTCTTCTTTCTTCCTTTTTATCATTGCAAAAAAAAAAAAAAAGTGTCTGGCTGTGTCAGATGTTAGTTGGGGCGCGCGTTAGATGTCAGCTGGTTCCATCACCCGGGGGTTGAACGCGAGTCTCCTGCATGGGCGGGTGGCCGGTTTCCCGCGAAGCCACCAGGGGAGCCTTCGCCTCGCGCTTGTCGGGAAGATGCCCTGGAGAAGGAACTGGCAGCTCACTCGGGTACGCTTGCCTGGAAAATCTCATGGACGGAGAAGCCTGGTGGGCTACAGTCCGTGGGGCCACAAAGAGTCGGACGCGACTGAGGGACTTCACTTCTCTTTTCTTTTCTTTCTTTTCTCTTCACAGCCCCTTTAGGGCCCCCGAAGGGATGGAGAAACCCTGGTCGCCTTGGACTCTCCGGTTCTCCCCGCCCTCCAAGTAGCAGACAAGATGCCCTGAGCAGATTTCCCGGGCGTGGCCCACGGGCGTGGCCGCGACTCTGATGTGGCTGGAAGCAAGATCCAATGCCCGCGGGTCCGTCGATGGGCCCTCCTCTGCAAACCGGCATGCCATCCCAGCCCACCGTGGGGGGGTGCAGGCTGGGGGGCGGCACCCCCTGCGAGGGTCCGGCCCATCTCCCCATCACCCGCCTTGCCAAAGCCATCAGGAGGCGGTCAGGACCCACGAGCCCGTGTCAATCTTCTCCGGGGGCGCGGGGGCCACGCGGGCATCTACAACCTCCATCCACCCCCTGCCCCCGGGGGTTGGGGTGGGGGGGTTTCCCATCCCGGCCCCGCCCGCCTGGCCCTGCCCCTCGTGAGTTTCCAGCCGCCTCGCCCTCGCGCGCGCGCGCGCGCAGTGACAACTCACGCGGGCGGGGACCCTGCCGCCCAGCGGGGCCGCCCACGGGAAGGCTCTCGGCTCATTCCCGGCTTGACGCCTCCGGAGGACAAGCGGCTTCAGATCGCACCATCCTCGGGAAGGCAGGCGCCGCTGCGGTCCGACCCTCTGTCACGTCTCAGATGCAGCCCCGTTTGCCTTGACATCCGCGCCCGCGCGCCCGCAGCGCTGTAGCTTCCTCCCGTGTGTGCGTGCGGGAGAAAGACGCCCAAGGGGTCCCAGCTGCTGTCCTTGCTGACGCTCCCCTCTCCGAGGGGTTTTCAATCCGTCTGCCGCGAGAAGACACCCGGATGGGGAAGGAAAGAGAGTGGCCCTGGGAAAATACAAAATACTGGAGACTTTGCACGCGGGACAAGAGGGTTCTCGGACCTCCCCCCAGACGCACCCGATAGCGTCGGTTCTCCCTCTGGGACTCTCAAGGATGCCTCGACGATCTTTCCACGTTGCATCACAGATGAGACTTGTGGGAGCCCTTCCAGGCAGCCACGGAGGACTCTGGAGCATTTATTGTTATTATTTCCTTTTTCTGTCTCCTCTGTTTAAACCGAGAGGGATCCAGGTCGACGGTGGAGGTGGGCCCCCCGCGCGGCGGGGTGCGTGCGTGTGTCCGTGAATGTCCCCACCGATGCCGACCCCCCAGCCCCCCGCTGACCCGACCCCAAGCCGCTCATGAGTCTTTTCTACATCTCCCCCCATCCCGCCCCCCAAGCGCTCCGTCTTTCTGTCCCGCAGGTGTGGTCTGTGGCGCCTCCGTGTTGTCTCGTCTCGTGGCTTCTGCCTCCCCCCCGCGTGGAGACGGGCAAAAAAGAGAAAAGCTATTCCAGACATTATGGCTATTCCAGAAAATAAAATATTTTTGAAACCGCACATCATGGCTCCGGCTCTCTTGTCTCCTGCTGGGCTAGTGGGCCTTGGAAGATGCATGGAGAATTCATTTATCCTGCAGTCGATCAAGGGAAGAGGATTCTTTTTTTTTTTTTCCCCCAAACGTTAAATCTTTGATTTTGTATTAGGGTTGTTCCTGTTGTCGAGTCGCTCAATCGTGTCTGACTCTCTGTGACCCCACGGACTGCAGCACGCCAGGCTTTCCTGTCCATCACCGACTCCCTCAGTTTGCTCAGACTCATGTCCATTGAGTCAATGATGCCATCCAACCATTTCATCCGCTCTTGTCCCCTTCTCTTCCTTCCTTCCATCTTTCCCAGCTTCAGGGTCTTTTCCACTGAGTCAGTTCTTGGAATCAGGTGGCCAAAGGGCTGGAGCTTCAGCAACATTCCTTCCAAGGAACATTACTAGGGTATAGCCAATTAACAGTCTTGTGATGGTTTCAGGTGAATAGCAAAGCAACTCACGCATTCCCCCTCAAACACCCCTCCCATCCAGTGAAAGTCGCTCAGTCCTGTCTGACTCCTTGGCACCCCATGGATTCTAGCCTCCAGGCTCCTCTGTCCATGAGGTTCTCCAGACAAGAATACTGGAGTGGGTGGCCATGCCCCCTCCAGGGGATCTTCCCGACCCAGGGATCAAAGCCACGTCTCCTGCATCGCAGGCAGAATCTACTCTCAGAGCACCAGGTTGCCACATAACCTTGAGAATGAACCTTTTTGAAAGAAAAGGGGGCAGGTTTGTCTAATTAAGTCACAGCCTGTCCATTTATCCTGGAAGGCTAGCAAAGAAGATAAGAATTTACACTGTTCTTTCAAACCTTATTATGTTAAAAAAAGAAAAAAGATCTTGCCCCTCGTTTGGAACTCTGCACAGCGACTGTAAATAGTCGGTTAGAGGTCTGAGTTGCGTATCCTGGAGTGGCTCTGATAAGGCGGCAAGATGGTTATCTTTCATGGTCACGTGAAAAGGCTGGATGTGAGTAAAAAACACACGCTCTCAGACCCAACCCAGCCCTGTACAGGTTATCAGGAGACTGGCAGAAACCATGTCCGCATCCACAATCAGCCTCGGTGAGAAACTGTGTTTTGGGGACACCCACATCCACTTGAATCCGGCATCCTCACTATTCTCGCTAAAAGTCTCAGTCCAGACCAAAAAAAAAATAGCTTCATGAAGATGATTATTGTTAAGAGTTTGGTGCCCATGGTTCAATTCAGTTCAGTCGCTCAGTCGTGTCCGACTCTCTGCGACCCCATGGACCGCAGCACGCCAGGCCTCCCTGTCCATCACCACCTCCCAGAGTCCACCCAAACCCATGTCCTTCGAGTCGGTGATGCCATCCAACCATCTCATCCTCTGTCGTCCCCTTCTCCTTCTGCCCCCAATCCCTCCCAGCATCAGGGACTTTTGCGGTGAGTTGGTTCTTCAAGTGAGGTGGCCCATATTGGTAGTTTGGAGACAAAAAGTGTTAGATCAGGAATATTCATACATTTTGAAAAATCGTGGGGTTGTGGGGAAACATAAGAGAAAACATAAGGAATGATAAGGTCCTAATTCAACATCATGTGATAAACCATAATGTAAAAGAATACAAAAATATATATATACATTACACACACACATATATACATATATATACAATGTAACAATTCATTTGAGGTATAGCAGAAATTAATACAGCATTGTATTAATCAACTGTACTTCAATTAAAACAATTTCTCACTGTTGGAGACTTATCAGATGGTCCAGTGGTTAAGATTTCGCCTTCCAATGCAGGGGCCAAGGGTTCAATCCCTGGTTTGGGAGCTAAAATCTCACAAACATTGTGGCCAGAAAAATAAAACATAAAACAGAAGCGGTATTGTAACAAATTCAATAAAACCTAAAAAACAAAACAGAAAGAACTTATAAAAAATGTAAACACAATTCTCACTGGTTTAAAAGAAATTCGCTAGCCTAACCTATGGTGTAATTTGGATTATGGTAAAACCTGTATGTGTTGTATAGACAGAATTATGTCTCTGCCAGTAACAATAATGGAAGCATTTAAATCAGCTGAGATAACTACAATACAAATACACATGTGTATCTATAGACATTCATGGATGGCATCGCCAACTCAATGGACGTGAATTTGAGCAAATTCTGGGAGATGGTGATGGACAGGGGGGCCTGGCGTGCTGCAGTCCACGGGCTCGCAAAGAGTCAGACAAGACTGAAATGTAGACAAACATTCATAGTTGCAAGATTATGCCTTTGCATGTAATAATAGCAAAGACACTTATGTATCTTCCATTGTATGGTGGGCAGGGAACAAGACTCAAACATAACTCTGAAGGCAGATTCACTCATTCAGAGTTGCTGTTAGCAGGAATGCAGACAACATTGTCAACTAACGTCCTTTTTATTATTTTTAAATAACAAACCTCCACTCTAGTTTCTAGAGTAAAGTAGATATCCCCTTCTCCTCCTGCCTTCAATCTTTCCCAGCATCAGTGTCTTTTCCAATGAGTCGGTTCTTTGCAACAGGTGGCCAAAGTCTTGGAGTTTCAGCTTCAGCACCAGTCCTTCCAATGACTATTCAGGACTGATTTCCTTTAGGATGGACTGGTTGGATCTCCTTGCAGTCCAAGGGACTCTCAAGAGTCTTCACCAGCACCCGTCTACTCTAGAAGCTGCTGTTTATTTATGTATTTGGCTGCCTCTGGGGTCTTAGTAATTGGACGTGTGATCTTTAGCTGCAGCATGTAGAATCTAGTTTCCAGACCAGGGATCAAACCCTGGGCCCCTGCATTGGGAGTTCAGAGTCTTAGCCACTGGACCACCAGGGAAGTCCCAAGTAGACATCAATTAAATTAAAAAAAACAACAGTATGAACACGTCGGGAAGGAGACGGAGCCGCTTTCTGGGATCGATTGCAAGAGAGGAAAACAGGGCATGAATCTGGCACACACACGTTTGCTATCACCACAGAGTCTGTTGTTAGAGAAAGCGAAAGCAAAGATGTATCACCCACACCACGACGCCGGCTCCGGCTGCCAGGGTGGACGTCACCTCGTTTAGTCCCGCTCAGCCCTGCCAGCCGGGAACAGATGCCGCTGATCTTTTATAGATTGGGGAGCTGATAGATGTGAGCTATTTGGCCCCGTTAGCCCAAGCCAGCAGCGGGTCTGACTCAGGCTCCAAGTGTCCGAATGCTGGGCCCATGCATTAATCCCCAGACACTCTACCTTGCATTTTGGTTCCCTCTCTTCATCCATCTCAGCGGGGACAGCTCATGGTTCTTCTCGCGTGTGTAACGGGACTATTTATCATCCCCACTGGGGTTCACGCAGGGTAGGAAAAGTGTCCGCCACGTCAGCAGCAGTCTGAGATGACGCCACGTCCATGGAGTCGGTGATGCCACCCAACCATCTCATCCTCCGTCGTCCCCTTCTCCTCCCGCCTTCAATCTTTCCCAGCATCAGGGTCTTTTCCAAAGAGCCAGTTCTTCCCATCAGGTGGCCAAAGTCTTGGAGCTTCAGCTTCAGCACCAGTCCTTCCAATGAATATTCAGCACTGATCTCCTTTAGGGTGGACTGGTTGGATCTCCTTGCAGTCCAAGGGGCTCTCAAGAGTCTTCTCCAGCACCCATCAACTCTAGAAGCTGGAAAAAATACGAGAGTAATGTATATTCCTCCCACTGTGTTGACAAGTGCTTGGAACTCGGATGGAATGGTTAAAGGTCCACACGTTGCTCACTTCGTAACGCCCAGAAGGTCCATGCCTTTCCCTTCCTCTTTTATTTTTTAAATCAAAGACACCTCTCCAGCACAGAGTGTGTGTTTGCAATCCTCCGCCTCCCTGTATCTCTGCGCAGGGCCAGCTACACAAGTTTAAATAGCCAATTATCCGGGATTAACTGAATCGTTCCGCACCATTGAAGCAGAAAGACAATGAAAGGTGGCCTTTTAGCATCTAGACCCTAGAGAATTCCATCTTCCCCCAGGAGTGTCGGGCAAGTGCACACCTCCGCAATCCCCTTTTTAAAGC